TTTTTCTGGTGTGAAATAAGACTCAGCTGGAGACATATATCCAAGAACTGATGAGGTTAAGACCAGAGAAGTACATGAAATTGGCCAGAGGTGTCTTGGAGAGAGGAGAGACTAGCAAAGTCGATAAAGAAGACTGAAAAGAATGGCTTGATGTCAGGGGAAAACCGTGTCAGAAAAAGAGAGGACAGGAGTTTTGAAGAGAGTCTTACCAGAGCATGACAACGTGAAGGATACACAGGGAGTATCAAACAAGGGTTTTAAGAAGCTTACCGTAATAAGCCAACTGGCATTTAAATTAGGCAGTGTAATCTCAATATCAACCATTTACTCTAATTTTGAAAACAGATTATTTCCTATGTCTGGACCAGGAATTTTTCATGAGACAAGATGTACAATTATTCATATTCTTATTGAATGTGTGTGTGTATATAGATATTTTTATATATAAATAAAGATATTTATATATGTAAATCCAGCAAAGAACATGTATCATGTGTTTCCTATAAAGTTGTAGATATTTTAAAAAGAAACTTATAGTCACAAACCTTATCCATAAAGAAGTTATAATTTGATTTGGGAAGCCTGCCTATTTTTTCCAGTGTGGCATGGTAACTTAGTTTATGTCAAGGAGCAATGACATGGAGTCCATTGACTTCATATGGCAAGCAGTATAGACCAAACCCAACTAACATCTAAAACCTGATGCTTTCTGTCCTTCACACAATTGAACTTATCTGTGGCAATAGTCAATCTTTCTAAGGTGGCTCTCAGGAGACCAGAAATTGTTATACAAGGCAGAGTCCCGGAAGTCTTTGTGTGCCACTAACTAATCAGATTATGTTATTTATTCCTGTCATTTTCCATTCCTTTCACTGCTACTGACCATATAATAAGCTGGCAGACAGTTCTGCATTTATCACTCCTCCATCTATAAGAAAAAAGATCATAATTTAGTGTAACTCGTGTAATCGCTATGATGAATGTCACAGGGGATTTGGAAGGCTCTGTTTCACTGATTCCAACATTCACATAGGTCCAACCAGCCTGTTTTTCCTTCGAAACCTCTCAGTGCATGTGAAGGATTTTCCAATTTTATTATGTAACATAAGTCAAGTCTGCACAGAGAACATGAAAACTATAATACATCTCTATTAGAAAATTATTATATTTCTTTGTTGTTTATTCCAATACATTATATGTTTTTTTCATTTGAGGATAATTTTTCCTACTTTTCTGAGGCCAAAGAAAGTCTCAACTAAAGCTTATAAAATGCCATTACTTCAGTGAAACTCATTTATTCTTATTATTCCTCATTACTTTTTTATATTCTAATTGCTCTTCAGAGCTTTATACAAGATGCGCACAATCTCCCACTACGTGTACTTCTCCACTTACAATTTTATAGCCAACACGGTCAACATGTACAAATTGTACATACCAATCTGATTCCTTAGCTGTGGTAATTGGATTCACCATGTAATTACAGGTGGTAATGACATTTTAAGCACCTTATACAGGTGCTGGGAGAGGTTTATTATTTTTTTTTATGTGAAACAGCATTAAGAAAGTCTAAGTTCTTGGATCTGTGCCAGACTATAAAGGTGCCTTTCAACTGTAAATAGCAGTTTTCATTAGAGCATAATCACAGCCCTGACTGCCTACACTACTCTTTGTCACATCAACCACCCCAGGACCAGGAAATCCTGAGAGGAGGGTTACTGTTTTGAGCTTTCAAAGCTAGAAAATTAAGCATCTATTTATTACCAAGAAACATTTGTAGATGTTAGATCAGAATCTGTTACCCTTTTGGTTGCATATTCCCTCTTGGGTATCATGAACAGGGGACTATTCAACTCCAACTGTGAAAAAAAGAAAAAGAAAAAAAATTCTAGTTCAAGTCTTTCAGCATGATCAGGAATCAGACTCTGTGCTTAAGACCAAAATGTATAGTCCAAATGTGTGTGTGTGTGTATCAGTCACTCTACAGCAAAGTGACTGGTCTGATAGCTTACTTATACATTCACAGTTTCATTAATGATACTTCAACCTGTTGTTTTATTCATGCATGAAAGTAAACTCAGGGGCGCATGGGTGGCTCAGTCAGTGAAGTGTCTGACTCTTGATTTTGGCTCAGGTCATGATCTCACAGTAGTAGAGATCAAGCCCCATATTGGCCTCTGCACTGACAGCATGGATCTTGCTTAGGATTCTCTCCTTCCTCTTTCTCTGCCCTCCCCCCTGCTCACATACTCTCTCTTTCTCAGAATAAATAAACTTAAAAGAAAAAGTAAACTCAGGCAGTCACCATATTTACCATGTACTCAGAGGGGGGCAGAATTTGTTCTGGGGTCTGAAAGGGAGGCTGAAAGAAAGAAAAATTTGATTTTGTGCTCCAGAGACTAGCTCTGCTACCTAATGTGCTATGCTTCCTTGCTGAACTTCTTTACCTTAATAAAATGATGGAGAAAACACTTATTGTGTAGAATTTTTATTAAGGATTAAGTGATAGAATGCATGTACAGTACTAATACTGTGTCTAGCAGATATTAAGCAGTAGATCATGACAACAGCTGTAGTTATTAAGACAATAACATGGTTGAAGGAGACTGACACAGATGTCAGTGTTTACACACCAACCTAAAATAATGTGCGGCGTAACAGTGGAAACAAGTGGGCAATATTGCTAAAAGAAGGCATAAAAAAATGTCAACCACAGTTGCATGCATTCAGAATTGTTGAAATTGTTAAGGATACTCCGACAAATGTGAAATACTTATTTATTTTTAATTTTGAATTCTAAGTGCAATTTTTGCTAGGCTTATTTCTTAATGTAATTGGAAAATACACACCCAGCTCATCATGCCCTTTTGCTTCATTACTGATGTATCTTTTCCCCTCTGGTAAATGTCAGACAGTAAGATTGAAAATATAGTTTGTTTGGTGTTTGAAAATCAGCCAAACCTGATTCCACGTGTCTGTGGGAGGCACTGCTGTTCTTTAGTTCAGTCTATCCCTTTTCCCCACGTTTCAACAGGTCTGGTTCCCAGTGCAGGTAATATTGGCTGCCCTTGTCTGAGGGTGGTCATGCAATCCCTCGACACAAGTGAGATTAAGGAATATTTGACCTGCATGCGGGGGAACTGATGGTATTTCTGTCGACATACTCATCTTTTATGGGAGAGCTTCAATTCCCCAATCAATGACTGTTCTTGTCTTATGCCTTTCATAACAAGAAAGGTTAGCAAAAAAGGAAGGCCTGGGAGAGCCCGTCATTTTCACAGAACTGCTGTGATATAGTGGGTATAGCAAAAAGCAGATTCAAAGGCAATACTAATTTTTATTGCCTGCATTATAATAAAGATTGAATTACAGTATGAAGACAATGGCAAGATACTTGGTTTCATATTTTAAAGACTCTGTCTTTGGAAATACCGAGTCAGGTTTCTGGTTTTGCTTTTTAGGGTATATTTGAAAGGTGATTATTCAAGCTGCAGACACAGCTAGATATTAGTAGTCTCCTAGTCTATAAGTGTTCTTAGTATTATGACACAAAAATGACATCAGTAGACAATAGTAATTCTCAGGTTTAGCATTTGCAATGCAAAGGAGACTTCCATACTTATTGTCTTTTTCCAAAGGACACACATAACCAAGTAATTTATCAGAGTTTTCTCTGGTATTTTCCTTTCTATCATACCTGTAGTTATATTCCTAAGTCTTACTTCCCTTGAGACAGTAATTACTAAGGTAGCGCCGAGAGCAAATACAGGCTCAGGACCTGATGCTTTTGGACTTACTGTTAGGCAATTTGAACATCTGGTCCCTTTCATTGAGTTTCAGTCCTTTTCTCAGAAAAGGCATTAACAACCCTTCCTTCCCCCCCCCCCGCCCCCCCTCCCCCCCAGGCACACAACTTGCACTTTTAGGAGCTGAACCAATTAAACTGTGTTCTACAGATGAAACTACCATCTATCTTTGGTTGTTCTCGCTATGATAACTTATGTTGTTTTTGTTTATTATCCTGAATGGTATGCTTTCTTCCCGAATGAGATACTTGACCCAGTCACGACCCCTTGGGAGAGGCATTTACAGATAATGCGATCAATTAACAAGTCTTTAGTTTGTGTTTAGCCCCTTGTTAGACACTAGGAGGGTAACAGAAATATGAGACATGGTTCTTGCCCCCAAAGGAGCTTTTAATCTCATTAGGAACACTAACTCTAATGAAGTACCCCCAAATAATTCTAGACTGTATAAATAAAGTTTATTTTTTATGCTAGGGTTGCAGGGGGATAAAGAACTATCAGAGTTCAAGGAATGAGTAAATAGTGGTCATGGGGCTAAAGTAAACATGCGATGAAGACTAGAGCAGAGAGTAAATATTTGGAAGAAGGGGGAGATTGATTTTAGTAGCTAAGTTGGGAACCAACTATAGAGGAGTCTGAACACTCACAGGCTGTACTGAAGAAGCTAAAATTAAGTCCTCCATTAAGAGCAACCTCGGGCTGCACATAGCCCCAGTTCTAGGAAAAGCTTCAGCTGAAGCCACCCTCGGACCACCCTCGGATCAGCCAATCAAAAGAAATGTGTAACATTCCTGTGGTCTGAGTCAGGGCTGGGAACTGCAGGTAGTTACTGTGTACAAACTAGCCAATCACTCACCGCTTGCCTGAACCCCACGTGGGCCCTTTGAGCTCACCTCATAATTGGTCATTTTCAAGGGATTCTCAAAGGTCATGATTGGGTCCCACCAAAAGTAATGGACACCTCACAGATACTGAATGGTCAAAGCTGTTACCATGGGTGTGTACAATTATGATTGGTGCTTATGTGATGATGCAATACATACAATGTGTGCACTGTAGCACCCCCATCCCTTACCCCATAAAAACCCTGCTCGCTATTGTTCGGGGCTTCACCTTGCTGCCACGACACCGGTAGGCGGGTGAGCCCCTGCTCGAGCTTGTAATAAAGACCCTTTTGTATTTGCATCGGTGCCGGCTCCTTGGAGGTCTCTGGGACTCATAATTTGGGCATAACAGTACTTTAATACAGCAAGTACTCTGAGCCTGTGAAGGTCTCCATGTAGGACAGTGTAATGCTGAGAATGATACATACGTGATGTACCCTATGAATTTAGGGTACATCATCCAACTGAGGAAAACTTTACCTAATTTTACTTCTAAGTCAGGTAAGTCAGACTTGACCTCTATCTACCAGAGGTGGCAGGAAATTCTAACTCAGTAACATTTATAAATTTTTTTTGGCAGGGAGAGCCTTACTAAGAGTCATGTACAAATTGTAAGATGGGAAGATGGCTTCTAGTGTTCAGTACAGAGTGATGGCTCCTGACATGCTCTGTGGTCCTTTCAAAGCAGCCTGCTACCTTTCCCCTTTCTCCAAGTATGAAGACATGCACTTTCTCTGTGCCTCCAACAGCATGATCTTTTCATTTTTTGTCACCTTGGTTATTCTATCATGATTGCTTTTGACATTTGGGGCACTGTGTGAGAGTGGGACATTAGTTCCATATCACTCTAAAACCCCGCTAACCCTGGCCAAGCCACCATCTTGCTGAAAGGAACTATACTTGCTTCATTACTGAGCCAGTCCTGCTTTCCTTAGCCTAAGCTTTAGCTCTCCCTTCAGTTAGCTTATTTCACAAAAACTGGAATGGGGGAATGTGCTCTGAATTGCTCCAAATTTCCATCTGTGGCCCTACTTCACAGAAATTATCTCTAACCTAAACAGCCCAGGCTCAACACAGAAGGCTTTTGGAATTGGACATAAAATCTACCTCTAATTATTTCCCATATCCAGTGATAGAAAGAATAAAGTAAAATTAACATCTCAATAATTACTCTGTCGCAGGTATTTAAGCAAGTTAATTATTGTCAGCAGGATGCATTGGATGAGGAACAACCTGGAAACTAAGATGGTTGAAAGGCTGTGGCAGTAATCCACAGGTGATTGCTGAGGGCCCAGCCCAAGATAAGAGGTGACGTTCTGTGAAATAAATTAATGAGATACACTAACTGAGAGAGAGGGCCATAGTCCAAGGCTGTCAAAGGTGTGGGTCAGACACATTTTAAAATTCTTCAGCATCAGACAATGAGGTAATACTCTTATTAGGAGATCTTGTATAAAAAAGAGTTTGACATCCCATCTCCTTGTTATTTCACTTTCCTCTTCTCCCCACAGCTATTCCTGCTGTGAGATTGGCAAACAAACACGTAAGACCGGGTGCAGTGCTTGTAGCCTGGAGCCGAAGAGAGCAGTTTCTAACAATCGATGCAGCTTCCACACGGGAACTACAACAATTAGTTTCTTTTTTCTCAGACAAGCAGAATTTAGCATAGAAAAGAAGTGGCACTACGTTGAAGTAGTGAGGAGGAGGCAACTTGGGCCAGATAATAGGGCCAGTAGCACTGAACTTGGGAACTGCAGTGAATGTAGGTAATGTACAAAATTATAAGGAAAACCCGTGCCAGTTGAGTTTGGAAGTGGGGATGGAAGGCATCATGAAGAAATTGCCAACTACATGATCACAGAGAATAATTATGAAGAGTTTGATGGAAACGATTTCTCAAAGAGTATAAAGAGAACCTGAAAAGGGGGTCTTTTTTTTCCTACGTACCAAAATGTTTTGAAGAGATTTTTAAATATACTTTCTTATTGCCCTAGGCCTATAAATGGGAACTAATGGAAAGTTGAACCCTGAGCAATATAGAAACTTAACACTTAACTCTTTGGGCTAATATACTTAAAACTCATATTTTGTCTGTAAATGAGTCTTAAAATATATATTTCATGGATAGTATTATTCTCTCATGTGATAGAACTTGACAGAAACAGAAGCCAGGAAAATGCTATCTGGTGTCTTGAGTCCCCAGGCTGCTAAGTACCAGATTTGGGAGGCAGAATATTCAGTGGGGAGTTAATAATTAGGGCTCTCCACAGACATTCTTGTTCTATGCTTATAGCCTGTACTTGTCAACCCGCTTTGAAGTTAGCTAAGGTTTTATTTTGGCCAATGAAATATGAGTGGAAATACCAGAGATGGTTTACTTTCTCCTCTAAGATGGGCTATGTAAGTGACCCTGTGAAACAATGCATGCTCTGTTCCCCCTTCCCACGTGAGAGAAGCCTGTGTTGAGATGAAGTCTGTGTTGATCTGCATGTACAGGGAGCAGAGACCCATTGGCCCGCATTGGAATATACAGTAAGAGTAAGAAAAAAGTTTTTGTGTTCTGTCACTCTATGATTTGCGGACTCTTTCTGCAGCATTGATGAGTCCATTGTGACTCTTATCAGTGGTCTGCAAAACTGGTTTTCGCTTTCGGAGCTTCTAAAATCTTACTCTTTTGGTGAAAAGTTAGACATTTGAAATTAGAACAAAGGTATCAAAGGTAAGAGCAGGTCTAGAATGTGTGGGGGGCAGTTCTAGGACAGCATTCTTGGGAAACTCAAATATCCCAGTGTGAACTGTCACAAGGGAACAGTGGAAGAGTTTCACCAAGTATTTTAGTTTACTTTTAATATCAAAAGGGTCAGAATTTGTGTTTTACTTCATATTATGTATGTCACTATTCCATCTATCATCTGCAAATGGGAAGCATTTCAGAGGAAAAAGAAACTTAATTTAAAGTTTTATTGACCACATATCCTTTCTATAAAGGGTTATAGTAATTTGGTTATGACATCAAGAAGGATAGACATTGGGGTGCCTGGACGGCTCAGTGGGTTAAGCATCTGACTTTTGATTGTGGCTCAGCTTGTGATCTCATAGTTCCCGAAGTGGAGCTCCAGGTCAGGCTCTGTGCTAACAGCAGGGAGCCTGCTTAGGATTCTCTTCCCTTATCTCTCTCTCTTCCCCTCCTCTGCTTGTGTGTGCAAGCTTTGTCCCTGAAAATAAATAAATAAACTTTTTTTTAAAGGACAGAAGATTGCACTATCTAGATGGTTCTGATTTTATCATCAGTTATAGCATCAAATAGGAAGCTGAAGTCTTTTTAACAGATGTATTTTGAAGCGAATGTGGCAATTTGCTGAGAAGGTTGTTATAAAAAATTATTTTAAAATGCATTTCTCCCCAAGTTGTGAATCTATGACTCTTCTGTAAAACCAAAACATATTAAAGATTAAGGTAGCAGTTTCAGAATTGAGGTGCCTACAGATTAGGATGAATTGAATCACTGGGTAAAGTGAACTTACTTTGGATGGACCAGTCTCATTCAAATATTAAGCAGCCAAGAAATATTCAAAAGACAAGAACAGTCTCAAGGATTTCATATTACAAGAGCTGTGCTATTTACGGTAGAACATAATCACTATGAATTATATTTGAGAGACTGAGAGAACATGAGCTCTAAACCTGAAGCCACACAATTATTGTTTCAGGTATGTGTTTCTTTAGACATACTGGGAAAATGAACAATGTTCTCCATGCCTAATAAATTGGATAAAAAAAAAAAAAGAAACACTATCTGGCTTCTCAGACTCAGAAATCTATAATTTCAGTTTCTTGGTAAATTCCATCTAAAATTTCTGGAACTAGTCTCCTGGATGAAAAGGAAAAAGAAAATGAAAGACTTGTCCACACCAAGGCCTGACCATCTGGACCTAGAGTTCAAAGACAGTGCAGGAGAAAGGAATAGGGGCTATACCTGCCAGACCTTGGTAGTGGTGCAATTAGTGCATGTTGATTTGTATATGAATAATCACTAATATTTATTGCATATTGATGAAAAATAGCTTGAACAGCAACTTTAAAATCTGCTACCCTTCACTCTTTTTTTTTTATCGGGAATGTGTTATGGCATTATCACAAAACATCTAGAAAACATCTATTAACATCCTAACACTAATTCCATATGTATGGATGGATACTAGAAGTCATCCTGTGTGGCAAGAGCTAACTACACAAAAGAGGAGGAGCTTCTCAGGACGAAAGATGAAGAGTGCAATTTCTCATTATAATGCTTCTTTATCATTCCTTATCCTTGTCAAATCATATAAGGAGAGGCAGTGTGTACTGAAGGGAAGAGTCTCAGAAACTATACATGTGAATATTCTGTAAGTTTTAGAAATTCCTCTCTAAGCTTGGGGTGGGGTGTTTTTTTGACCCCTGTGCCATGGACTATGTCTGGTGGCCAACAATATCTTTTAGGAGTCTGCTCACTAATCACTAATTGACTTTGTTCATTTTGTTTTGTTTTGTTTTGTTTTGCTTTGCTTTGCTTTGTTTGTTTCTACTTTGTCCTGAAACAGTAGGTTCCCAGATATAGGGTAGAATGAACCCTCACACCATAATTAGAAAAGAGCCCATTAGTGAGATGAGATGCCAGAGTCAATTGCTTTTACTTTCCTCAGAGTGTTGGTTTCTCAGGTATTATTCTCAACAGTGGTACTTTAGACACTGCTGGGAAGCAACCATTCATTGCACAGAAATGTCCTATGAATTGTGTTCCTGAACTTCACTCTACCAATTCCAGTGTCACCTCCAAACACCAGAACACTCCTATAGAATTCCAAATGCTCCCTGGTTAGGAGCAGTATCTGGTTAGAAAATTAATCTACACAGTAATTACTTATAATACCCCCAGAACTGATGAATTGAAAATTTGCACAGAACGTGGAATATATCCAGCATTCCTAGAAGATTAAAAGAATAACAAATGCCAAATCTAATAATACCAAATTTAAAAAAAACACCTCAAAATAGTCAAATTCATTCTTTGAATAAACTTTTGAGACCCTTCCATTAAATTAACACATTTGATCCAAGTTCCTTGTGGCTCACTTCCATAAGCATCACTTAGGAATGCCAAGTGTTTCCTGCAGGAAGAGGCCACAGAGATTTTTCTTTTCTTTTTCAGATGTGTGATGAGCAAGTAAAAAGTGATGTTAGGACTGAAGAATGCTATGTGTGTGTAGAGTGAGTGTACACTTGTGATCTTGTATATTAGCTCATGGATTATATTTTTTATTGCTTACTAGATAAGCACATTCGGACTAAGAAGCAAAATGCTTTACTTTTACGGTAATTGATATACCATCTTCACCTTTTCTTTCTGAGGGCCAGGGTGTCCGTTGGGTGACTGTACCATGTGACTTCTGCATATAAATCACAGCCTGTCACCTGTTATTTAATAGCTAGCAGTGCTGACTGAATAACACTAAGATTCTGTAAAATTGTTCCCTTTAGCCTTGGGTGTTCCCCATAGAGGTAATTGTCTAGGAAATAAATATCCTGGACAAAGAACAAGAAGTTACAGACCTAGGAACATCTTTTAATGTCTTATAAGTTAACTTTCATTTGTGCTGAAATGTCTGGTTCTTCAATCTTTAGAGTTATTTTTGTAAATTTTCATCACATGTAAATGGATTTACATAATTTGTTTTCAATTAAAAGACCCTGAAATTCTCATTGGTCATCTATAATGACCACGGAGGCTACCGGTTACTCAGACCTTCATTTTTTTCCTTTTCCAGCAGGTTTTTCAGCATCCAAGTAATATATTACATACAAGGAAAAACACTGTTGCAAAACCAATTTGCTAAGGGGCTTGTAAAATCCAGCTTTAAAAAGGTACTGAGGCATCAAAGCAAAGGACCAAAGAACCAGATATTTTTATCAGTTTCTCAAGGTCAAACACATTACTAATTCATCAAATATCTCTTTCTGCTAAAGTTATTTGAAAAGCAAACAACCTGTTCTGTGCAGATGTTGTACTTAATAACTCTAATGCTTCAAGAAAAAAGACAGGGATGGAACAAACAGAATTTTCTACTGCCGTAAGAAATGCCTTCATGTCTGAAAAACACTTGCATCATTAATAAATACTTTGAATATTCTTAATAATAAAACCTGAGAAATTTTGACTGTGGTAGTTTTAGCTTATTATCTCTTACGTCAGTTATGTCTGCTGGTTTAGAGGACAAACCATTACAAATTCTAATTGTAAAGAAGATTGAACTTTCTGTCTAATGTGTCTTGATTGTCCTTGCCTTAGAAATAGAAGTTGCTCTATTTATGCCTTTATACAGATTAATTGTGGCTGATCTAGTTCCTTGAATGGAAAGCAAAATTGGCAGGGCAGGGGTGTGTGTGTCTGGAAATCTATTATAGTTTCTTCACTGACTAGCTTCTCAGATTCTGGCCACAGGACTTTCTTTTTCCAGCCTTACAAAGTGAAGCCTTAGAAATTGATGACTCCAAAGTACCCTTTAGTTTACATTTCTGTTTCTAAATTTATTTAGGACTATTTCATAACAGCTCTACTCCATGCATATAATAAAACTATGCTAGGTATTTTGTTTGAGAAATGATTTCCAAAAACATTAGCATAAATTTATGAATAGATTCCTCTATTTTGCATATGGAGATTGAAGCAAGATCTAAACAGGTGTAATCGTTAATTTTTTGTGTCAACTTGACTAGGACAAGAAGTGCCCAGATTAAACAATATTTCTGGGAGTGTCTGTGAGGGTGTATCTAGATGAGATTAACATTTGAATCAGTGGACTCTGTAAAGTAGATTGTCCTCCCTAATTTGTATGGGTGTCAACCAATCTGCTGAGGACCTTAAGAACAAAAAAGGAAGAGGGAGGAGGAATCTGT